GACGGTGTTTTTAATCATACTTATTATAGGTTTGGGCAGTCCCATAATTTCCCCGCCGCCCGGCCACCCTAATTGTGAGCAGGATACAATTAGCCGGGAACGGGGGATTGAGCTCCACAAATCTGGGATAGATCTCCACTAAAAATTCCCGTGGTTACTCTCCATGAGTGCCAGAGAGGTATAAATTGACAATTTAATTACCTCGTTTATCCGGCCAAATAAGTATTTTAGAATCATTTAATAAACAAATAAGTGTAGTTTTATATATTTCAGATTTTTTAACATCCACAAAATACAACAGAGCCTAATGAAATTAATTTCATGAACATATGACTAAGAAGCAAGACCTTCCTAAAACTTTTTTTTTAAAAATTTAAACAGTTCATCTATTTTAAATTGCAGCCATGTTTCCATGATATTTACGAACGTATCTAGAAATGTGAGGCTTACAGTAATGTTACTGTTCAATCATAAGCACATTTTCTCGAAGCAATTGAATTGAGATTAATTAAGTAAACGTAATGCCATTCCGTAGAGATAATTCTGTTCGTCTCAAGGTTTTATTTACCTTGTCTAGATCAGTGGTTCTCAACCGGGGTCCATGTAACATTAGGGGGTCCAGAGAAAAAAAAATACCGAATTGGGTGTTCACGATAATATTTAGTGGTCTATAGCAGTGGTTCCCAACCTTTTTTCATTAGAGTACCCCGTGACATGTCATATCTCTAGATTGTACCCCGTGACATGTCATATTTCTAGATTGTACCCCGTGACATGTCATATCTCTAGATTGTACCCCTCATTTAAGAAATTTAGTGAGTAATCGTATTGTTAATTTTACATATTGTAACTTTAAATTACATAAAAAAAAGTTAAATGAAAAAATGTATAATAAAGTTGTGATTGTTGCAAGGAACATTTTTTACCTAATAATTTTTTAATACTATTAGTTTGTGATTCATAATATATTATTTTTTCTGCCATAATAACAAACTTTTTTCTGTACACCTAAACAACCTATCGCGTACCCCTAGGGGTACGCGTACCACAGGTTGGGAATCGCTGGTCTANTGTTTTACTAAGAATTAAATTTTTACAGTATATATATAGTCAATTTCTTTGTTACTCATTTTTTGCATAATGGTTAAAATAAAAATTATTTAATATATTGGAATACGTATAAGATATATATATCTCATTGACAAATGTCAAAGAGAGATTATAAATTGTAACTATGTCCTTCATGAGATGATGAGAGATTATAAAGCTGGGGTTTGTTAGAATCTTGTATCATCAGCGTCATGTCAGTTGACAGAGACATTTCTGTACGTTTTCCTTTTTTGTTTTATTAGTGAAAAATACAGTAATACCTCGACTTACGCTACCCCGACTTACGTGAACCCGGAGTTACGCGATTTTCAAATCTCGTCCATTCGTCTTTTCTTTGAGAACCACGCAACTCTCGATTACTCACTCCCCTCACACTATTGTTCAGCTTACGTGTTCGGACGTGTCGCGCGGAATCGACACATAGCTACAATTTATTTTGTGTTATTAAGATTAACGAGAACATTTATTAACTTACATACATCCGACTTGGATTTTACACAAATTGTGAAATTATACCCTTACTTACGCGGTTATCGCTTTTGGCCTTATATGTATAGAAAATAAATTTGGAAATTTTGTAAATTATAATATTTAAAATGTTGATAAGTTATGTTCTTGAATTAAGTTTTGCAGCCAGCTTTCCTTCTTGAATAAAAGTAAGTATATAAATATGAACATGTTGAATTATGAAAAATAAGATTTATGTAAGGACATAAATCTTATTTTTCGAATTAAATAGTAAACAAACAATATATTGTTTAATCTTAATTTTATTTACTTATTTAAATTTTTTGTGAACGGGAGGAGCTAAGTTCTCAAAATCCTTTGTGTGTACACTCTTGGCTTTTATTTATGAAATTAAGAATACAATAAAAACAATGAGAAGGAATATAAAATGAATATTAATGTAAACTTAATACAGTATTTCTTATAATGACAATGTATCAGATAGATGTTTAAATGCAAATAAATACCAGCATTTTGAAAACATTTAAAATACTTTGAGTAGTTCAAATATTCAACAGTATTTGAAGTACCAAAAGTATTTCAAATATCAATTAAAATGTCAAATACGTACTGAGTACTAATGTCGCGTATTTGAAAATAAAAATATTTTGAACTTCCCAATAAAAGAATTTTAAATAAACTTCTAAATACTCCCAAAGCATTTAAAATAGGAATTGAAATACTTTTCCCAACTAATACTTTATTTGTTTCTTCTAAAGTTATATGGCAAAGAATTCAACTCGAATCATACATAAAGCGTAACGCTATGATTAACAAAAGCATTACATTTAAAGATATTTGCTAAGTATTCATATTTTTGTATGCGAGTTATGCGAAGTATACAAGATGTTTCTATTTTTCTTAACTATGCTCTCGAATAACTTTGAAAAAATAATTCTAAAATCATCCACAAATAATTTCATTGTAAAAATCAAATCAAAATATGAAATTAAACTCGAATATTATGTTGAGCTATTAAAAGGATTTGCATTACTGGTTACTTAAACAGGCCGTTTTCTTTAAATCAGTATCACTAGTTTCAAAGTAAATAAATTTTTATTTTACTCTTTCCATCATGTGTGCATTAAATTAAGAGGGCCCTTTTCTATCAGGTCCATTGTAGGTTCGACCAGGCTCACAGTGGGGCGGTTGGGTAGTGAGAGACTGGAATTGACATACCATAAATGAATCGCCTACAGAAAAATTCCTGATGTTTTTTGATCATTCCGGATTTGTTTTTAGGTGGATACTATTGAGGATGCAGGTTTGCAAGTTGATCTCAGGTTCGGGCCTGACAGGGAGTTTTTCGTGTTTTCTTCACGAAAAACTCCACGTAGCCACACAACACAAGGGTAGATCGCTCTTGTGTTGTGTTGCCTTATCCCATTAATTCAATCCAATCCAATCTTTTATTGAAACCATTTGATAAATATAGACCACGCTATTCAATTCAATTTGAGTCGATCCGGTAAATATCAATTTGTTAAAAGCTAATTTATGTTAACAGACTTTTTCTTAAACACTTTTTAGGATGTATTTCTATCGCACTTTACAGGAAAAGGTTAGGCCTGTATTGTCTTGACATTTTCTGAATCTGAAAAGTTTTCATAAGAATATTTGATTGATTTGTTAATTAGCACCTGTATAGGGACTAGTTTTCAATAAAAGATTTCCCAGGAAGCATCTCTCCTCGGCGGATCGCCCACATCTTGCGTTGCCGTAATAAACAAACAAACACTATCTATTTTCCAATAGGAATGGGAACGATCACTTTATCGAGGATTTCAAGGATTTCACTTGCATATTAAAACTTAATCATTTTAAAGGACTGTATATTTGAAGAAATCAAAAATTCTTGATTATTGGAGCACTAAATGATTAGCTTACTGGTTTATTTCTTCAAATGTCTTTATTACAATTTTTTTCAATTTCTGAAAAAATAAATATTTTTATAACTTCAGGAAAACAAAATCGAAACTTTTAAAACTGTATTATTACTTTTATATTTGTTTTCAATTATTTTACAATTGGTCACATAAATTTTAGTTCATAAGAACTAAAGCAATATTAGACTGACTACAGTTTAACATGAAAACTTTACATCCAAGAATCTTGATGATTCATAAGAGTGGTTATTACTGTAATAACAAAATGAGAACTAAACAGTTTTAGTAGCCAAAGATACAATTTAAAAAACAATATAGAAAACACAATTTATAATTTTTTGTGTACTAATGAAACTCTTACTTCTAAATTTTTAGGTGTAAAACAATAAAAATATTTGAGAACATATATGGCTAAATGAAAAAACAAATAAAAATAAAACTTTGTTTTACAATATAACTTGTTTTCCAACAGTTTTTATATATTTTTTTTCACACATTTTATGTTCACTAAAACGTTTTCTATAGCAATGTGAGAGTTAATAGTTTTAGATGTGGAAACTCGTGCACAACTACATGCTCTGCGTCGGTCAAGGAAAGCAAAAGCGAGTCTTGACCAACGTGGAGCATAAAGAATAGATAGTAGTACAAGTTCAAGGTAAAAGCTGTTTTGGCCAGTAGACGTTAATGCATTTATTATTTATGTTATAGGCCCTAGTCGCTATTATGGTGCCCATTGTCACATGCAAACATTACATCCACAAGCAAGATGGAGACCAGAACTACCGTCATTGGAGTTCCATATTTGAAGGCGAATGTCTCGCGAAGAGTCGCGTAGAGAGATATGATTCCTTTGACTTTTTACCTGTATGGTATGGTCTACAGCTTCGTCAAAGTCCCAACTATATCATTCAGAGCTGCAATTTTAACTGATATTTGTACTCTTGCCCATCAAGGATTCGCAATGGGAAAGCCGTCTAGTAAGGAATAAAGCTTGATCTATTGGACGAGACGGCGCAAATTTGCAAATTTACACCATAATTGCGAATATCACACTGCATATGAAAAGCATCACAGAAGATCAATCGACACGCTTCATTTCTTTCAGGTTTTACAATTTCATGGTAGGAGCTACATTGAGTGTTAATGTATTACATCAAGTACTGTACTGTACGAACAGTCAGGTGAGCTATCTGTAGCTGGCATAATCATATGGGCTAGACAGAAACGAGACATTGTTGAAATATATTCGGATACGGTAGGAATGGCTGATTGAAAATCAGTTATTTTATTTATTATATATTTATATAATAAATAAATTAACCGATTTTCAATTAAAAACATTTTTAAAATTAAAGTTTAAAAGCAATTTTAATATTAATTTGATCGCTTGCACATTAATAATACACATAATCTTTATAAATATATAATAATTTTTTTCATTAATAAATATATTATTTTTTTAATAACAATTTTTGACATAAGAGGGAGTTTTATTAGAGTGGAATGGTATTAAAAGGTTATGTTAGAAGTGGAATGGAGACTTTCAGATGGAGAAGATAAACATTCTATTATTGTGCTCGAGTTTGTTATAAATCCTAATTACAGTTAAGTATTTAAATATGCTATTTTAACGAAGCGTAACATATTTAATCCAGCTAATTTGATATGTTAAGCTGTTATCGATCGTCTGTTTTACAAGAATTTAGTTTTATGTGCTTTACATAGAACTATATTGATATTCATATAAACAGTACCGGATCATTTGTATACAAAATAATAATAATAATAATAAATAAGAAAACATTTCATATATATTTTTTCATATATTTACTTTGAAGTGATTTAATTAGGAAGGTTTAATACAGCAAGTAAGTAAGATAAGATTGCAGTTTTGAATGAGATGTTCTGGACTCTTCAAATTTTAGACACCTCTAAACGACTAAAAAGGGTAAGATTTGAACTCTGAATGAGGGGTTTTCCTCCGCAGAGTTGTAGATCTCCCTGTATGAGCAGAAAAGTCAAAAGAACTATACCTGTATATGTAACTCTCCAAGCCTTCAAAGATCAGTTTTTACTGTGTACCAGTATAATACCTGCTCTTTATGCTCTGTGTTAGTCGAGGCTCGCTGTCACTTGCATCTTGGTGCCCACACCCCTAAAACTATACAAGTACTACACAGTCAAGTGGGCTACTCAAAGCCAGCATAGTTGCATGGGCTAAATAGTTAAACACAATAATCTTAGCAGAGCAATGTGATTATGTGCAACCTGGAAGTAGGTTGATTTAGGGTGGAATCTTGTCAATAGTTGCATATAGAGGTATGGTTCCTTTGACTTTTTTGCTCATGGTATGGTCTACAGCTCTGATAAAGTACCAATAATCTCATTCAGAGGTATAATTATACCTAAAAAAAGTCAAAAGAATTGTATTTTCAGAGCTCTCAATCTGTGATTTTAAAAAGAGCTGATATCAGCCAAAAAAGTTGGCATTTGCCCAAAAAAGATCTGACAGCCAAAATTTTAATTGAAATGTAATGGTTTTGACAATTTTCATGGAATTGTTCAGTACAAGGTGTACAGAAATGGTAAAATAAATTGTTAAATATGATATAAGATTATTTTATTTGTATTTTTTATTACTTAGCACTCGTTATACTAATAACACATTAGTGTAGTGTAGAACAGCAATTTCCCTAAATATGGGGTTGAGATCCCAAGCGGGTTACCAATTTTTCTTATATGGTTGCATAAACACTTTTGAAGATTTTTTGATGCAAAGGAATAGTGTTATGTAAGTTTTTTCTTTTGCTTTCTTTGACAGCCAAAGGAAAAATATACAGCACTTGATTGAAGAATATTGACTATCAACAACAACAAGAAAAAAAGGATCGGTTGATATGAAAAGGTATATGAAAAAAAATTATCCAAAAAGCTATAATTGTAAGAAAATGGAAATTAGAATCATCAGACAAATGCCAAATATAGTGGACTGTGTATGCAAAGCACAGATGGTTGACACACTGTCTGTAATTGTGACCTTTGATGAGATATATCCCTAAAAAAGTTTCCAGGCTGCCAACCATCTCAATCAGAGCTGCACTTGTATCTTAAAGGGCTCATATAATAAAACAGCTAATCTTGTAAATCAGCAAAAATTAATTTAATTCAAATGTACTGTAAAATGTAGAATGCAGCATACATTTAAATGCTTATAGAACAATGTTTATAAAATATTTAAACAAATAAAATGTTTAAAATTGTTTGTTATAGAATGCTACAAATTATCTGAAGGATGATACACTATATTTTTTGCCTTATAAAATGTGCTGCTGTGTTGGACTCATTATGTTTTTTGTCAATTTTATGGAAAAAATATTTTCCACAGTATCAAATGCATTCAGCTTATAGAATGCATTTTTCAAATAAATTTTAGGTATGAAAAAGTGCATATAAGGTGAAAAATTTAGTGTTATTACATAAATAATAAAATGTCTTATTTCAGTAATTATTTATGTAGGTAACAGTTTATATACATGCTTCCATTAATCAAAATAAACTACGTTTGGTATTGGTATGGTTCTTTGTGATACATTATGTATTTCCACTTTTTTTAGCATTTTTGTTGTATGGAGTTTTTGATTTTATTGAGTTTACTTGGTTCCACAGTCTTGTTGTTAAGGTGAGCAGCAAATGCAGCAAGGACCATATTATATTTCTGCTTTCTGGTACTGTATTTGAGTTCTTTGATTCTGTTCTCCAGACTTTCTTTGTATCAGGCATAAAATTCAAATTTAAAAGTAAAGAAGTACAAACTAATATATACAGGAAACCATCTGCATTCCCTTTATACTTTTCATCAACTTTACATGATCCCATAGTATATAAACTATCAGCCTTTAAAGCTCTGATTAGATGACCATATGTCCACTGTTCCATCATAAATAATTTAACAGAATTGAAGATTATTAGAAAAATAGCATTTGACCATGGATACAACCAAAAGATGATCAATAACTTAATTTAAACGCATATAATTTAAACGTATGTCAAATTTGTGACAGATACAAATTAGACATACAGAAGCATAGCCAGAAAAAAGGAATTTCAGTTTAACATTCAGCAGAAACCCCATCATATTCAACATTTTAAAAAATGACAAAAGATAAAATTATATAGTAGAATAATCATACTTAACTGACATTAAAACATATTTATTAAAAATTGCGAGTACTTTTGAAGACATACAGCCTTTGATAAAATTAATGAAAAAAAGAAAAGCAGAAAAGGTCAAGAATTTTACTCTAAGTACCTCATATGTAGGTTGCACACTAAGAAGTCTTAAGAATCAAATCAAAGAACTCAAATAAGATCAAGGATTTCTCCCACACCGGGTCATATAAAACTAATATGCGTACTTCTAAGCCAATATCCGGCGTGAAAACTCCAAACAAAGATTGGCAAACGCTTTTGATGCCCCTCCTGGGCTCCAAACAAAGAAAGCATTTGCCAATCTTTGTTTGGAGCCCAGGAGGGGCATCAAAAGCGTTTGCCAATCTTTGTTTGGAGTTTTCACGCCGGATATTGGTTTAGAAGTACGCTATTACTCAAATAAGATGCCAGGAAAAAGAAATATGACAGCCCTAGCTACATGTGCTGCTCACCCTTATAACAAAAAGGATTCTACTGGACTAAACAAAACTCCATAATTAAACAAAAACTCCAATACAGTGAAAATGCTAAAAAAAAAAAAAAGAATTTTCCACAAAACATTTTATTTGCCAAGATATAGTTTATTGATGAATGGAAATCTTTATATAAATTTTACTCTATATAAATAATGGTTGAAATCACTTTTCTTCTTCTTCCTAGTGCTAAGGTCCTGCTTCTATGCAGGGTCTGCTTTCTTGCATGCCCTTCTCCATTTGGTATGGTCCAATGTTTCTGCTGGGGTGACGTTTGTCCTTCTCATGCCATCTTGTAGTTGGTCCATCCACCTCATTTTGGGGTGCCCTTGGGGTTGTCATCTGGGTGGACTGAGATGCAATGCTATCTTCACCACTGAGTGTTCATCACTACGCATGATATGTCCATACAATCTGAGTCTTGCTTCCTGCATCTTTTCAGATATTGTGGCCACTTTCATGATCTTTTGGATGTCTTCATTCGGCATGTGGTCAAGTCGGGTAAAGCCAAGACACCAGCGGAGCATCTTCATTTCCATGGTATGGAGAATTTGTTCATGGCAGGTGCTTGATGGCCAGCATTCCAATCTGTATAGGGCCACTGGGCAGACAACAGATTTGTAGACTTTCATCTTCAGCTGAATCTGCATTCAGTGGTCACAGAGGACACCAGTGCACTACTGCCACTTTAGCCAGGCTGCATTGTCCTGTGCCTTTGCATCCAGGATGGTTTCACTATCATTGCTGATGAGTGAGCCAAGGTATTTGAACTGAGCGGGCTTCTTGAGGTCTTATCCCTTAATGTTAATCGACCCGTTGGTCTGGTATTCCACACTCCAGGTATTCTGTCTTCCTGATGTTGAGTCTAAAGCTGACATCCACGAGACAGTCATTCCACTGGAGGACTTGGTCCTGTAGATCCTGTTTTGATTCTGCTGCAAGGAGGATGTCATCTGCATAGTGTAGGGTCTATGGGTGTGGACGTTGAATTTTGGCTGAAGCACAGTCCATGCAGAGGATGAAAAGAAGGGGTGAGAGGACTGATCCCTGGTGTACTCCAGTTTTTATGCTGAACAGGGGTGAGGTTCCTACTGGACATATGACCACACTGGTCACATCGGTGTACAGGAGCTGGGTCCATTGAACGTAGGCCTCTGGGACACCATGGACTCTGAGCAAGTGCCAAATAAGGCCATGTGGAACACAGTCAAATGCTTTCTCCAAGTCCATAAAAGGTATGTGGAGAGTTTTGTTCTTCCAGTGTCATACATGAAGTAACCGGGCAGCATGTATTGCATCTGTGGTTCCACAGCCCTTACTGAATCCACATTGGTTTGGAGTCAAGTTGACAATCTGACAAAGCCGAGTGTCGAGTATTCGCTCAAATATCTTCATGGCATGGCACAGGAGTTGGATCGGTTGGTAGTTGGTACAATGTGCCACATTGCTTTACCCTTCAATATTGGCACAGTGTCAATATTGAAGGGTATCATTCACTTATCATTCATCAAATAATTTGTACAATTTATATATAACAAACAATTATAGACATTCTATTTGCTTTATTGTTTTAATTCAAAAATTTTGTTCTAAATGAATTTAAATATACATTCTATTCTTTTATTGATTAGCCTTGAAGATGATATATATTTGGATCAAAAGTATTTGTCTAATTAATAAATTTTTTGCTTGTTTACAAAGTTTGTTCTTATATTATTACTAAAGATGAGTTCAGTAAAAGTACAACAGTGGATGTATGAATTGTTTAGTAAAAGAACTAGTTTTGGAAAAAAAAATCAGTTGCTTCTGTTAAATTTCTCTCCTGTCATTACCTATGTGTGTAGCAATGATTTGTGTTATATAAACTTTTGTATTTGTATTGTGTAGCAATGCTTTGTGTCATATAACCATTGTATTATTTT